TTTGTGTAGGGGCCCAGCTTGGCAGGACAGCAGGCGGCCTGGACATAACCACCACTTTGTCTTCTAGGTGACCTTGGAAGTGACCCCCCCCCCCCAGCTCCGTAGCTAAGAAAATCCATTCTTATCTGCTGACTGTGTGTGAATTTTGACAGTTCAGGAATCTTCCAGTTAGCCTGGAGCCACCTCCATCAACAAAATCCTTCCTCCTGCCTCCTGGTGTCAGGACCTCCTGTTCTGTCTCGTAGCCACCCGAGGGCCTCAAGTCCACCTCCCCCCAATAAACAACACCCCAAGGAGTCCTGAACGTGGCCTCCTCGCTCAAGCTCATTTAGCCCCTTCCACCTCTGGCAGCCAGTTCTGGTATGCTGGGCTTTACCAAAACAGTTCAGTTTCTGCACAAAAGGCTGTTTGACATTTGATAAAGGTTCTGTTGCGTCTGCAGGTCGCCGTGGGCAGCACTGGGACGTTTGCAACATTAAGATCCCAGTGCGTGAATACAGGAGGTCTTCCCAGTTCCTTTTAGGGTCTAGCTCCTTTCAGCAGCGCTTCGTTTGTAAACGTGTTTCACCTCCTTGGTTAAATTTATTCCTGGGCATTTCATTCTTTTAGATATTTTTGTATTTGGAATTTCTTTCCTAATTTGCTTTTCTGATAGTTCTTCACAGGTGTCTAGAATTGCAACCTACTTTTGCTGTTGAGGATACTGTGTGGCCTGCAACACTGCAGAATTTGGTAGTTGGCTTGAGCAGCCCTCTAGCAGCGGATTCCTTGGGGTGTTCTCCACATAGGGTCACATCATCTGCAGTTCTCCTCCTACTTGGTAAGACTTTGACTTATCTTAAACATTTTTCTTTTTAGTATAATTGCCTTGGGTAGAATTTCTTGACCTATGTTGACTGGAAGTGCAAAGCAGACAGACTTTTCTGGAAACTGTGGGTTTTCCATACATGCCCTTTACCGTGCAGAGCGAATTCTCTCCTACCCCTCGTCTGTGGAATGTTTTGATCATGAGAGCTGAGTTTTGTCAGACTCTTTCTGTGTAACACTGAGGTCATCAAGGGGATGGGAGTTTCACACAGCAGTTAAGAAGCTGCTTGGGGGTCCAGCGCCGTGGTGCAGCGGGTTAACACCCTGGCCTGAGGCGCCGGCATCCCATATGGGTGCCGGTTCGAGACCTGGCCGCTCCACTTCCTACCTGGCTTTCTGCTGTGGCCTGGGAAAGCAGTAGAAGATGGTCCAAGTCTTTGGGCTCCTGCACCCGCGTGGGAGAAGTGGAGGAAGCTCCTGGCTCCTGGCTTTGGAATGGCGTGGCTCTGGCCGTTGTGGCAATCTGGTGAGTGAACCAGTGGATGGAAGAACTCTCTCTCTGCCTCTCCTCTAACTCTGACTTTCAAATAAATAAATAAATAAATATTAAAAGCAGCAGCAGCAGCTGCTTGGGCTGCCTGCGTCCGGTACTGGCGCGCCTGGTTCAGGCCCTGGCTCCACGCTGAAGACCCAGCCTCCTGCAACGAGCACTCTGGAGGCAGCAGATGATGGCTCAAGTTACGGGCTCCCTGCTGCCCACATGGCGCAGCTGGACTTACTTTTGGGCTTCTGGCCTCAGCCTGGTTGTTTTAAGCAGTTGGGGAATAGACCAGTGGATGGAAAATACCCCTCTCTCCCTCTTTGTATGACTTTCAGTTAAAATGAAAATAATAAAAAAGCAAAACGAGTTTTCAAAAGAAAAATTAAAGTTGAGCCAGCTCCCTGCTTGATGGGCCCATAGCAGCTGCAGACAAGAGAGGCACTTTCGATGGAAATTTTAATCACGTGGGATCCGGATCCTGAAATTTCCTCCAGGAACTGTAACAAGAGACGAGACACGCCCCCCCCCCCCCCCCCCCCCACCGTGTGATCCTAAAGACAAAGCCCAATCAAAGCCAGGGATACCAGGAGGCAGCTGTGGTCCAGTCACAGCAAAAGCAGACCAGTCGAGGGCAAAGGACTGGCAGTGTTTCCTGGGGACGCTCAAGGCTTGTTGCTTGAGTTTCTAGACAGAGTGGTAGCATCTGCTTAGTGGGAGGTGTTTGGGGAAAGTCCCTGACGGCTTCAGCAGCCGGTCCTGCTCCACCACCACTCCAGGGCATCCTCTCACGCCCCCAGGGCAACCTCACGACAGCTGCAGTAGGAAGTCGGCCTCTTCCAGTCCTGATGCGGCTCCTTTCACTTCCTCTTGTTTCCTAGACTTAGAAAAACCTTTCCGGCCGACACTGTGGCATCGCGGGTAAAGCCGCCGCCTGCAGCGTGGGCTTCCCATATGGGCCCCAACTGGATCCCGGCTGCCCCACTTCTGATCCAGCTCCCTGCTAGTGTGCCTGGGAAAGCAGCAAAATATGGCTCCAGGTGCTTGGGCCCCTGCACCCATGTGGGAGAGTGAGCAGTGGATGGAAGATCTCTCTCTCTCTCTCTTTCTCTCTCTATAACTCTGCCTCTCAAATAAATAAATAAATCTTAAAAAGAAAAAAAAAAACTTTCAGGGGCACCCAGTCTTCTTTAGTTAAAAATGGGAAAAAGACGGCACTGACAATCACAATCCCAGGGCCCTCCCTTTTTTCTGAATGGATTAAATGGCTGGTTTCACTGTTTACAGAAGTGTCTGGAGCTTATGTGGGGAATGAAGTTTATGTTGTTATTTTTCAGCCAGGAGTCAGGAGCTCCATCCGGGTCTCCCACATGGGTGGCAGGGCCCACTGCCTTCCCAGGCACATTAGCAGGAAGCTGGATCAGAAGCTACACAGCTGGGACTGGAATGGGCACTCTGATATGGGAAGCCCATGTTGCAAGGGGTATCTTAACGATGCCAGCTCCTGTTTTCATCTTTTTAAAAAGTGCATCGGGGCTGGCGCTGTGATGCAGCGGGTTGGGCTGCTGTCTGCAGCACTGGCATCCCATGTGGGCGCTGGTGTGCATCCTGGCTGCGCGTTTCTGATCCAGCTCCCTGATAATGAGCCTGGGAAGGCAGCGGAAAATGCTCAAATCCTTGGGCCCCTGCATCCAGACAGAAGACCTGGATGAAGCTCCTGGCTTTGGTCTGGTCCAGCCCTGGCCATTGTGGTCATCTGGGGAGTGAACCAGTGAATGGAAGATCTCTCTGTCTCTCTTCTCTCTCCAACTCTGACCTTCAAATAGAATAAATAAATCTATTTTTAAAAAGTTCATTTTCATTTTATTTAAATGACAGAGAGTCAGAGAGACAGAGGAAGATCTTTCATCTGCTGGTTCATTCCCCAAACACCTACGACAGCAGCACTGAGCCAGGCTGAAGCCAGGAGCCCAGAACCCAATCTAGGTCTCCCGTGTGGACAGAAGAGACCGCACACTTGAACCCGCTGCCTCCCAGATTGTGCACAGCCAGACACCGGAATCAAAGTGCAGCTGGGACTTGAACTCCGGTATCCCGACAAAGCATGCGCGTGTCTCGAGCTCATCGCAACCTCTGTACCAAATGCTCAACCCCTATTTTTGTATTACAATTGCATATTTCCACAAACTGTTAAAGTCCCCCGTATGTAGTTGTATATGTTTGGTATGAACACAAACATACACAGATTACGTCTGAGCAGCATTAACACATTCTACTGACCTCGAAATTCAAATCTGAGAACAAAGCAAATTGTCATGGATGTATACAGGACATTCTGTCTATAAGGATGTTTAGTGCCCATATTCTTTTTACTTTTATTTATTTTCTTAATCTAGTTGAAAGGTAGAGAGACAGAGATCTTCCATCCACTTGCTCACTCCCTGATGCCCACAATGGCTAGGGCTCGGCCAGGCCAAGCCAGGAGCCAGGAACTCAGTCTGGGTCTGCTATGTGGGCAGCACAGGGTGGCGCACCCCAGCTCTGGGGCCGTCGCCTGCTGTGCCCAGGGTGTGCACTAGCAGGAAGCTGGGTCAGAAGGGGAGCTGCGACCCAAATCCCGGCACTCTGATCGGGGTTGTTATGCCCAGTTCAGCCGTCCCCAAAGACCACCAAGGAGCCGATACCACTGTAAAGCACATGAGAGTTTTATTGCAGGTCCGGGCCTGGTCTCCAAATCAACACCGATGCGGCGGGCCTGAATCGAGAGCCCCGACCCTTCAGTTAACAGGGTTTTTATAGGGTTTTCAGAGACATTCTATACATCATGGTACCATTTAGCAAATCATCTCATCCCGCGGGAAATTCAAAGGACATCTCCTAGAATTGATCAGTGCATCCAGTGGCGGGACGGACCTAGTAAAGGTGGCTGGATGGCTTTGGGGCTGATGCCTTTTGAATTGATTGGCCGAAGCATTGGGTCCGAGCTGCGGGGGTGTATGTGCCGAACTGCAGGGTCTCAGGTAGCTATCGATCATCTTATCTGCCCTGAGAGGACACCAGGAACTCTAGGTATTTCTCTGTTATCTGTTAATCGGCTGTTGCTAGGAGAGTTTATCACAAGGGGAGTTCATTTATTTACTGTTAGGAGCTTCTGGCTCTGGGTTCAGGGCCTGGTCAGGCCCAAGTTACAAGATGGAGGCCTAATTTAAAATAGTTACACCTTGATCCAGGCTCAGGTCTCACAGGGGTGTGCACCAAACGCCCATTTCTTAGAATAAAGTGAGATATAAGTCCCATGAGAGGGATCAGTTAGACAAGATGCAGAGGAATGCTACAAGTCGTATTAATGAAGGAGACTGTGGTTTCAGTGAATCTATGTTATTATTTTATTTTTTTTTTGTTTTACTTATTTTATGGAAATTCTTTTGACAAAACTAGTACTCATAACCTTTCTAGCTGACACGTAAGGCCTCAAAATGTCTATCTAGTATTTTTGCATTTGTTGACGGTTGCTCAGGAAAACACCAAAAAGACGTTGAGTTCCTATGGTCTGCCCCATCCTTGTCAGCAAAATCCTGTGTTATTATTTTAAATGCCATAAAAGTCAGAGACAGAGACAGAGACAGAGACAGAGACAGAGAGAGAGCTCTCGTACCTGCTAGCTCGCTCCTTCAGTGCCCACAGCGGCCAGGGGCCAGGCCCGGACCAGTCAGTAGCCAGGTCTCCCAGGTGGGTGGCAGGGAATCAGTTATTTGAGCCGCCCCGTTCCTGCCTTCCGGAGTCTACACTGGCAAACAAACAAACAAACAAAAAAATAACGGAATCAGGCAGTGGAGCCTGGAGAATGGAACCCAGGCACCCAGAAGGGAGATCCGCGCTTACCTGCTCTGCTAAGTGCCCGCTCCTGTTTAAGTCACCTGACCTCCTTCCCTCCAGGGTCATCCTCAAGACCCCAGGGCCCCCGGCTCTCCCGACCCCCTCACTCCGGGAGTCCCCTCGGGGCACAGCCACACCACACGGCACCACCGCAGTCCTGCGGAGCCACAGCCGGTTCTCCCCGGAGGGGCGCACGGCACCGGGCAGCCGGTTACTCCTCACTTAATCCGCACACGGCAACCGGGGTCCTGCCAAGGCCTCCAGCGCAGGTAGCCTGCTCCACGCTAAGCCTTTTAACTGCCGCTCTGCTGTCTGGTATCCTCAACAGTAATGATGATGACGATAAAACTGTGACCACGACCACGCAAAAATGCCACCCGCAGAGCTGCCACGGGGCCCTTATGTCTAAGAATTCAGGGGGCTCACCTGGCCCAGCGCGCGGCTGCCCGGATCCCGCCGCAGGAGCCCGGCCAGGGCCTTCACGCACGCGTGGCGGGGGCCGACGGGCGCCGCGTCCAGGGCAGCCCCGCTCCCACGCCCGCCGGCAGAACCGGCTTTCCTGCCGGAAGTTAACTGCAAACGGCCCGGAGCTCCCGCAGCTCGCTCTGGGCCCGCAGCGCCGGCGTCCCGGGCGAGCTCCGGCTGCGGGCGCCGGGGCAGGCGGGCGGGCAGGGGGCCGGCCCCGACCCGGGCGGCCGCTCGGCGCGCCCGCACCCCGCCCCGGGCCGCCGGCCCGCCCGCCCGCCCGCCGCCGCCCGCAGCGCGGGGCGCGGGGCCCGGGGCGGCGCGCGGAGCCGCCGGGAGCGGCGCGGGGCGGGCGGGCGCGAGGCCCCTCCCCGGCCGGGCCGCGGAGCAGCGCAGGCGGCGGCGGCGGCGCGGCCCGCTCATGGCGTCGCCGGGGTGAGTGCCGCGGGCCGCGCAGACCCGGGGGGCGGCGGGCGGCCCCGCGCCGCGACGCCCCCGGCTCGCCCCGCCCCGGCCGCCGCGCGACCCCGGCCCCGGCCCCCGCGCGGCCGTGCCCGCGCCTGGCGGCCTCTCCGCCGACCTTGGGCGGCCGGGCCGGGGTTGCGGCGCGGGGCCGCGGGCCGGGGAGTGGCCGAGGACAGCGGCCACCCGGCGAGCCGGGGGTCCCGGGGCGAGGCCTGCCGGGGGCCGGGGCGAGCGGGGAGAGCAGGACCCTGCGGCCCCGGGTTGCGGGTGGGTGCGGGGGTGAGGCCTGGGAGTGGCGAGCGGGGGCGAGGCCTGGGGTTGGCGTCCGAGCGCGGGGCGCTGGGGCGCTGGGGACCCGCGGGGCCCTGGGCGAGGCCGGCACGGACGGGCCCGGGCGCTGCCGGGCAGGGCGGAGGCGGCCCCTGCGGCGGCTGGCGGCCTGGGGTCCCGACACCGCCTCCGTCCCACTTTCTGGTTTTAGGAAATGCTGGTGACACACATGGAGTCCGTAATTTCTAAAGCAGTTTCTCACTTGGCAAAATAAAAGCTCAGCGATTCGTCGTTACTTTTTTGGATTGGGGATCGCACCGGCCTTTGAAATCCGAGAGTGGCAGGATCCATCGGACGCTTGCATATCACAGAGGCGCAAAACCAGCCTCAAGGGCATCCCTGGACCTCAGGGGTCCCAGGCCGGGATGAGGCGCCCGGCCGGCGTGGGGATGCCGCTGCCCCCCCCCCCCCCCCCCCCGCCTGCCCCCGGACTTGGCTCGGGACAGCTGCCTGGAGCTGACGCTGGATGTGACCCGAGAGCGGAGGCTGCAGCCAGGCCGGGCGTGGGGGGCAGCGGTCGCTTCTGGGACCCGGCCGCTTCATCACCAGCTGAGTGTGCAGAACTTTGAGCTCATGCATGCAGTAAGCAGAGGCCTGTCCTGGGAAGGCTGGCCCAGGGTCAAGGTCCCACCGCATTCCTGCCTGGCTCTTCAGGAAAGGGCGAGGCCCTGGGGGGTGGCGGAGCCTGTTGTCCGGCGGCCTGGAGGCTTTAAGTCGATCAGTCAGTCAATCGCAATTAAAAATCTTGGTGCGTTTGGTGCCCACTACCTTAAAGGTGGGCTTAATACTGGGTCGGTAGTGCTGAGAGCCAGTGGTCCACGCGGGTCTCTGTAGGAGGTGGCTCTTGCCAGTTGCTTGCAGCTTGCACAGCGTGTAAGGGGCTCCGGGAGCCAGCAGCCTGTGGTCATCTGTGGTTTCTGAGGGTGCCCAGTGCAGCCGGGAGGCCTCACTTTCTTGTTTCAAGGAGAAGCCATGCACTTCTGCACCTCCTTGCGTGCCTTGCCTGTGGGGTTCTTCAGGCTGCCCTGGGAGGTGAGAGTCTGGCTGGGGAGACCCTGCCTCCTAAGATGGCTCCTGGGTGCCAGCTTGGCCCACCGACTACAAACCTGAACCCTCCCACACCAAGCGTCAGGAGCAAATCCAGGGTGGGGCCTTGGCCTCCTTGGTGGGCTCATTGCCCTCCCCTTGCTGGGGCTGGGAGCTGCAGCTCTTAGAGGATACCGGGACAGCAGCGTTGGAGGGCGGAGATGTGCGGCCCACCCACCCGCCACCACCTGCCTCTCCTGAACCGGCCTCGCTCCGAGCCCCCACCTCTTGTCCTTGCCCCTCGCTGGCTTTCTCACGGCACCCAGACCCCTTCCTTTTCAGCCTGGGGGCTCCCTCTCTGCCTGTGCCTTCCTTTATAATGCTTGTTTGTCTGCTTGAAAGGTAGAGCGAGCGAGCGAGTGAGCGAGAGAGAGAGATTTCACCTGCTGGTTCACTCTCCAAATGCCTGTGATAGCTAGGGCTGGCCCAGGCTGAGGTCAGGAGCCCAGAACTCCATCCGGGTCTGCTACTTGGGTGACAGGGGTCTAAGTGCTTGAGCCATCGTCCGCTGCTTCCCAGGTTGAATTAGCAGGAAGCTGGATTGGAAGCAGAGCAGCCAGGACTTGAACCAGCACTGCCGTGTGCCTTGTGGACGCCCCAAGTAGCTGCTTCAGTTGCTGAGCTACCATGCCCCCCCCCCCCCCCCGCCTGCTCTTTTGTCCTTGGGCTTCCTCGGGTTCTGTGGTCCGTCTCTGCTCTCTTCACGGTCGCAACCATTTCTTTATCTTTTTACTTTTTCAAAAAAAGATTTTATTTGAAAGGCAAAGTTACAGAGACAGAGATATCTTCTGGCCACTGATTCACTCCCCACGTGGCCGGGGCTGGGCCAGCCTGAAGCCAGGAACCTGGAACTCTGTCTGGATCTCCCCTGTGAGTGGCAGGCGCCGAGCGATTGGGGCATCGTCCGCTGCTTTCGCAGGTGCATTAGCAGGGAGCTGGATTGGAAACAGAGCAGCTGGGACTTGAACTGGAGCCCACGTGGGATGCCAACGTTGCAGGCGTCTCTTTCTGTGGCTTTAACTGCTGTCTAAACCGGACACGCTTAGCCCGGGGTCCACAGTGGCTTCTCTGAAGTTGTATGCGGTGTTGGGGGTGGTGTATATTTCTCTGAAAGCAAGGTCTGTGGCTTTCATCAGTGTCTCAAAGGGCCTTTTTGATTTTTTAAAAAGAGATATCTAAATTGTTTAGTTTTATTTGAAAGGCAGAGAAAGAGAGAGGGAAGGAGTTCTTCCATTTGCTGGTTCACTCTCCAAATACTCACAACAGCTTGGCTGGGCGGGTCCAAAGCCAGGAGCCCAGAACTCAGTCTGGGATTTCCACGTGGGTGGCAGGGACCCAAGCACTTGAGCCATCCCAGCTGCTTCTCAGGGCGGACATTAGCTGGAGGGCGGTAGTGAAGGGGAGGAGCTAGAGCCTGAGCCGGTCACTCTGGCAGGGGACGTCTGAAACTCTGCACCAAACAGCCAGCCCTCAGAGGGGCTCTTAGCTCTTAGGGATGTTACAGCTGTCAGCCTGAATTGCCGGCTGTTAGGTCTAAAGTGTACTTGCTAACAGCCCCTCGAGTATCTTGGATAAACCTGCATCACCTCTGCGAAGCGTATACATTTTTGGGTTGCCATTGGTAGATTATTTGAAATACATGGAAAGTACAGAAGAGAAAATAAAAATTAAGTGTAATGTGGGTCTACATAGACCACCACTTTTAAAATCTGGGGAGATGTGCTCAGACCCCCTTGTAGGGAATCCTGAAGATACAACCATGGATTATAAAGTTTAGTTGATAAATTAGACACAGTGAGAGATACAATAACTAACTAAATGGAGCATCGGTAACAATGTACTATAATGAGAGTTTGTGCTTCGGGGCTGTCATTAAATCAAGTAACAGTTACCTTTGGGTAAGCCCTGCAAGACCAAGGCAGCACATCCCATAACCGAGGTGGTTGCTAAGCAACTGCTGAGAAGGGCTGATTCACATCGCAGGCAGGATGGAGAGGATGGCCCAAGACCTCATGCTGCTGCTCAGAAGAGTGTGCGTGTTAAAACCTGAGAATTGTTTACTTCTGGAATTTTCCTTTTAACATTTTCGGACTGTGGTTGACCACGGGTAACTGAAACCACACGAAGCAAGACCACAGAAAAGGGGGGGCATCTGTTAGGTGGAAAGAAGCCGTTGCTCTTGGACTCCGTACAGAAGCAGCTGGGGTGCTCCGCGCTGCCCCTCTGAGCGCCCCAAGCACCTGACGGCCACTTGCCGTGCATTGCCGGTGTTTCTTGGCTTGCTATGATGTAAAGTGCATGGTGCGCTCTGCCGCTGGCTTTCTCCGCCCAGCCACACGCCTTGAGAGTCAGTCGGTGTGGGAACAAGGAACATAGCTACCGAACTTTGGAGAGCCACATACTATTCTATATAATGTATATCTATATAATACAATACTGGATCTTGGAGAGCTGTACAATATATGACCATGCACAGTTGCATTGTCAGGGTTTCCAGTTTTCTCTAAGACAGTGCTGACCCTGTGTGTCTCCCTCTGGGTGTCTGGGGCACACACGAAGAACTGAACTTGGCGTTCAGAGAGCCTGGCCATTTTTAATCTGATGGGACTGAAGTATCCTCATTAGTTAGTCTGCCTTCCCCTCCTCGCACACGGAGACCCCAGACCCGAGAAGTGGTGCCTGCCTGTGTCTCCTGGGTCGTCCTCACCCCACCTGGCTGTGCAGGCAGAAGCTCATTCCTGCCCCTCGTGTTGGCTCCGGGATGTCCGTCCTCTCCCACTTTCTCTGAGCTCATCGGTAACATCAGGTTCTTGCCAGCCCCCGGCCACGGGTAACATTGGTTCTCCCTTAAGTAAACTCATCCCCCTCAGCTTTTGGTTTCAGAAAATAGGGTCCTCGTGGCCCCGGGGCTGCCCCTGGCAGGGCTGGGATCAGGCATGAAGCCTGTGCGGGGAGAGGGTGCCTGAGTGGCCTGGGGCGACCTCAGCTCACAGCAGTGGCGTCCCGCCGTGGGTGAGGGGCCCGAGATTGATACCAGGAGTACGTGACAGGGCTGGGACAGCCGGCACCTGGCAGCAAACCCAGGGCCAGTGGCTCTGGTGTGGGAGGGAAGGCTCTGGTGTGGGGCCCTCGCCTTGCTCCGGAGCCCCTGTGGCCTCTGCAGACAGGACCCGGCCCTGCCAGCAGGGCTGAGGCTCTGCCCTGGGGTTGCATGACCTGTGGCCCCTGTGGGCTCCCCTAGGCTGGGCATGCTGGGAAATTTCTTTTAGGTTGAGACCCTGCCCGCTTCCAACAAGTGGGTGGTCAGCTGTGTTCCATGTGCCTTTGGCTGTACTGAGAGGTTGAATTTTCACAGCTATCCTATGCCATACATCTTGTCATTGTCCCTATTACACATAGGGAGACTGGGGCCCAGCTAAGGGTGAGCCTTGGTGTGACCTGCCTCGCTCGGGATCACCCCCTGGTGTGAGTCAGGTTATTGGGGCCCACGGGGACTGGCTGCAGCCGCATCTGTCTGGCCACCCGCAGTGCCATCTGCAGGGTGACGCTGAGGAGGGCTGTCATGAGACAGGGCTTCACAGAGATGCCCGAGATGGAATGGCCTAGAAGCCAGAGACCCACCTGCTGGCCAAGGTGGTTCTGTTGTAGATTCTCTGTGTTGCGAGTGACCTTTTCCTACTGTGAGTTGCTTTATTTTTGAAAATAAGTGACACATGCAGCTGGTACCCATTTCCAAAGATAGGAAAGGGACAGCCCTGGAAATTAAGCCCCCCCCCCTCCATGTTCTGGAAGCGTCTCCACCTGCGACATCCTGCAGCACAGGCTGGGGGTGGGCCTGTCTTCTCCGTGTTGGGGTTCAGACCTGAAATGAGTTTAGAGGGAGCCCCTGTGCTGCTGCTTCTGTCCTGACTCAGCTGTTGCCACTGGATCTTTAGTCTCTGTACTTTTAGGAAAATGAGCCCCTTGTCATTTGCGTCGTGTCTTCCCTCGGTTGGTCATTTTTGACTTTTGGCTGCAGGAGGCTGTTCCTACTCTGAGATCTTTTTTCTTTTAAAAAATGCCTTTAGTAGCTTATTTCACTTCAGTTTTTGTTTTTATTCATCTCAGAACCGGTCAGTATGCGTCTTACTGAAAGGAGTAGAGGCTGGACTTTTGTGATTCCCAGATGCCCGGAGCTCCCGGAGCGGAGACCACAGTCCTACCACGCTCTCCTTTGGTCACATTCGGTGGCCGCTCTGTGTATCCCTGAGCCGCAGCCTTGCACTGGTGTGAGCTGTGTAGTTGTTAAATTAGTATGTGCTGTTAGCAGGCAGGTTCCGTCCTCCTTCATAATTGTTCTTTTCTAAACTTTTCCTGACTGGGCTGGCGCAAACATTTCTTCTGCAGAGTCAGCTCGTCTGATTTTTTCACCTTAATTCACTGAAAGGTTAATACAGGGGGAGAATTAACTTAAAACTTACAGGAAGTCTCCCTTTCTGAAAACAGGCTTTGCCTTT